CATGCATATAGGGTAAAATCTTCAATCATATCTCCATTTAGATTAAAGGGGGGGGCAATCCTGGTCTGCTCTGTCGCATTTTTGCCTTTTCTATCACATTAGAAAAATAGTGTTATCTTCATCTCAGTGCCCAGTATAATTAATTGAGTTGGTTGGTGAATGAAAAAGATTCTGGGAGTGTTTAACCAACTGTGGCGGTCAGTCAGGTTCTATCGCCGGTAGCAAGATAGCTCTGCCTACCCGAGAGAAGATTTGGGGTGGGGGTCCAATCCCAGTCTGTTCTGCCGCGGTTTTGCCTTTTCTGTCACATTTGGTGCCTAGGCATGCCTTGGTAGTGCCTCGTGAGAGGACTTTAATTATGAGCTTGGACAGGGGTATTTTGGGGCCAAAGACCTTTAAGGATGGAAGAATGTGGCGGTCAGTTTGGTTTGATTACTGGTGACCAAATAGCTCAGTCGGTAGAGCACTTGACTGGTAAATCAGGTGGACCGGGTTCGAATCCCGTTCTGGTCTCCTGCATTTTCCTCTCCCGTTATACTACAACATGGCGACCATTGAAGATAACCTTAGAATAATTATATAAATCATGATAGAAAACCTTTTATCCAAATAATACATTAAACTAGGAGACTTATTGTTCACAGAACAATAAGAGGTCTTTCCACCTTCTTTGAATTGTTCAATTTTGTTTTATATCTGACTCCTTAAAATCAAATTCCATGAATAAGAAACCAAAATTGTCTTAAAGGATAGAAAAAATTAAAAATTAAAAAGAAATAACCTTGAAATGACCTTGACCTTTGACTTTGAGAAATTATTCAAGGTCAAAGGTCAATGGTCGCAATGCAATTGACCCCATGCTTCTACGATTGATAATTTTCAAGTTATAAGGTTTTATATTAAGTATAAATAAGTTAAAGGGCAATAACTCCTATTAGGGGTCATCATATCCCTTTGCATTTATACATGAAGTTAGGCCTAAAGACCCTTAACACATTAGTGAAGGTTTGGTGTCTTTACCGTCTATAGTTTGGGAGGAGTAGCGATAAGAAGGTTTTTTGCACAAGGGGCAATAACTTTTAAAAGGTTTAATATTAGGGGACAAGAATGAAATCTTTGAAATAAATTTAAGAGTGTATATCAATGATGCATAGACATTAAGTATATGTTGAAAGACAAAAGAAATATGAAAAGAGCTATATTTCTCATTTTTGGAATGACCTTGACCTTTGAACTTTACATGAATTTTAAGGTCAAAGGTCAATGAATCTTATGCAGTTGGTCCCATGTCTCTACAACTTCTTGTTTTGAAAATTTTTAATTATTTGTAATATTCAAAAAGTTTCAGGGGCAATAACTAATTGAAGGGGTCACCGAATACTTTCGCAATGAATAGATTGAAGAGTTGACCCATAATTAGGCAAAGCCATTGGTGAAGGTTTCATACCTTTACATTACGGTTTCAAGGAGTAGCAATAACAAGGGTTTTTAGCACAAGGGGCAACAACTTTTTAAAGGGTCAATCTTAGGGGCCAAGAATTATATCTTCTAAAGAGTTTCAAAAGTACATATTAAAGACATAAGATAGATAGTATATGTTTAAGGACATAAGAGCTATTAAGAGAAATTTATTTCTCATATTTGGAATGACCTTGACCTTTGACCTTGAAATGAATTTGAAGGCAAAAGGTCATTGAATGCTATGCAGTTGGTTTCATGTCTCTACGACTTTTCGTTTTGAAAATTTTTAATTTTTTGAAAAATTTATAAACTTTCAGGGGCAATTACTCATTGAAGGGGTCAAAGAAAACTTTCGCAATGAATAGATTGAAAAGTCTCCTGAATTAGTTGAAGACAATGGTGAAGGTTTTATATCTCTACGGTTTACTGTTTCTGAGGAGTAGCGATAACAAGCTTAACAGTGAAAGGGCCAATAACTGCGTAAGGGATCGAAGTTAAAACATGGGGGGTCGTTTTTTAATAACTTTAAATAATCATGAACTAAAAAGTTTTTTGATAAGTCTTACGGTGTCAAAACATAAGGTGAGAAATAAAATAAAAAACAGAAGCATTTCAAGAGGTCTTTCCACAGAAAGGTGGAAAGACCTAATTAATAAATGTAAAATGTATGTTGTTTATGATTTCTGTAAATGAATGCTGCTAAAGAATTTTTAAAATCTATCTATTCATTTTGATAACAAATACACAAAACATAAAGAAACTGCGTTGTAAACTTTTGCAGTCAAAAATCTATGGAGTGCCAAGGTATAATAAACTGACAATCATTTGTTTGTCAAAACATAACGTTCAAACTGGGTGTTACATGTATAAGGTTTCTCGAAACTATTGTTTAAAGAAATAATGTGACACAAGAAGCCAGTTCTGGTTGTAACAAAAATAATAATTTTTAAATTTCTACAGAGAAGATAGCTTTGGTATACAGGTATTTAAATTTGAATTACATGACCTGAGAGATAGTTGAAACAAAAATCAAAAGGGAGCTATATATGTTCTTACTAATAGCTAGAAAGAGAATTGATTATTGAATAACCAGGTAAGAATTTATTTCGAATTTTATTTTTTAAAATACATATTTCTTAATTTAATTAAGATAAGTTTGCAAAATCCCAAGCCTTATTTCATACGCCTTTTTTTATTTGCATTATAAATGTTCTATAAGAAAAATTTAAAATGGAAAATAACCATGCACCTTAATGAATATTTGTAAATAAAACTGTAAATTATATTAGCTGTATATCGCTTTAAATTTTTTGAAAAATCAGCATTTTTTTGTTTATTGTCTAATTATAATTGAGTAAACGTTGCCCCCCGTGAAACACAAAAGCTTTGGCATAAAATTATATAATTAAATGTATGAAAAATAAATTTCCATATTACCTGTTATGTCAAAAGCAAAATTTTACTTTAGGAAAACATTTGTATATTCAAAAAAAATTTCGTTTAGACGTTTGATAATTAATATAGTGAAAAACATAATTTTTACCAAAATTATAGATGTTATCTCTCTATGAAAGACAAAAAAAATGATTAAATTTATGAAAATTGATATCAATAATTTATTGAAAAATTTTCAATCGAAGGTATGTAAACTTTTAAGTCAATTAATCATTCAGGGAAAAAGGAAAATACATAATACGAGGGCGGTTAAAAAATTACGCGGACTGTTATATTACTTAGTTCTTTCACAGAAATATATATCTTAAAGATTCTAATAAATTTTTTGCAAAGTTTCTGTATTTTTAAAATTTTTTCTAAAATTATCGGTATGTTGATATTGCTGATGGAAAGGTACTGAGCACGACAAAAAATTTGAAGGAAAAGCATGCGGAATCCAAAATTTAACTCATCAATTTTTTATAATTGGTGATATTTTTCGACAATTTTCTCAAATGTATCTTTAAATTGTTCCATTGTTATGTATTTAGAATCACAAGTTATATTTGAAGAACTTACAGAAATATAATGATTTTTCTCTGATGTGATTCCTGTGAAAACGACTGTTAAAATGGCGTCTCCTGAATTGACGGCGCACCATACTTTTGTTAAATTATGTGTAACGGTAGAGATTATCACCAACAAAGATCCAAAATATGCATGATAAAACTTGTAGGAAACTAGGGTTTTCGTGACAATCGTCCACAAATAGCAAATTGAAATTTTAAACCGTTAGACCTCTGTAAAAAAGGCTATACGGGAGGACAGGAAGAAGATTCTCGACGAAACCTTTATCCGGACTGAAAAGAACGCGATTAAGAGTTATCAATATTACACTATATCTCATAAATACCTGCAGTTTTTGGTTTTAAAACAAAAACAGAATATCAATCACTTTTTAAAAAGATTTAAAGCTTTACAAGAAATGGTGTTTGGATGTTTAGTAGATAAGGTAGCTCAAACTGTACAGGTGCTTTTGGGAAAATGTTAAGAAAATGAAGCTCAATGAAATATTTTTTATAATGCCTGTGACGTCAAAGATTTTGCTGCTCCGTGACTTAGTGATATGTCCTGAAAAATTACTCAAAACTGATACCAATTTACAACATTTTGATATGAAATTTGGAAGACCATATAATTAAGGATTCTTTTATATTTTGTGTGACATTTTGCCCGATTATAATTTAATGTCGTCAAATATTTTTTCTGTGCAACAAGTCCGCGTAATTTTTGAACGGCCCTCGTGTGAATCGATCTTAAATGAACCTTTACAAAATAAGACAAGTTTATCTCTATTATTAAATGTATTGATAATATCGTCAACGTTTTATGCAGTATTTCAAATACACTGTTACTTACAATAATACCAAACAATTTTATTTTATTTGCAAATATATTATTGAAAATAAAATTTGAGCTAAGATTATTTCAACAAATGAAAAGGAAACCATTTCTACAAAATGTTTAGATGGATTAGGATATTGGATGTTTAACTCTAAAGTACAACTATTGTATATCAAGCTTAAATACATCAAAACCCTCAATTATATGCCGGTATACAGTGTATTTAAATTATGATTGTGACCTGAAAGTACGTCAAAATCTAACAATTATATACCAGAAGATGGTAAAACACTATAACTTTGTAAAACTTCGTTTTATTTATTATAGTTTTATGTTCATTCTTTTAATATTTCTGATGATTTATAAATGTGTAATTAGTGACGCCTTAAGGAGAAGTCGCTATGCATGATCTATTCTAACTACATATCAAAGACACAGTTCACCTGTGAATTTAAAGCTTATTTAATTCAATTTAATTAACTTTATTTTTAAACTCTTGTATCAAGAATTATAATTAATATACAATATTGTAGGACCACCTGCATTAAGTGACTGAGACACATATGATGGACCCCCGTTACAATAGCCAGAATATCCCCCTCTGTGACCTGTGTCAAACAGCTGCATTACAGAGTCATTGTGAACTTTGTCATGTAAATCTTGTGTTGGAAAGCATCTCTCTGATTCATCAAAAAGACACCATGTTGTGCCATACAAACTTAGAACGTCTACACCTAAATACCCCAAATGTCCAAACCACACCCAGAAACATTGTGAACTTTACTGTGAGAAATGTGACATTCCTGTCTGTTCTACCTGCATCTCCTCTGGGAAACATAAAAGACATGATTTATCTGATATCCTGCAGTTACTTAGATTAAAAATAAATGATTTGCAAGAAAGTCTTAAAGAGCTAGAGAAAGACATCTGTCCTACATATGAAGAAATTAAGATACATTTAAAGTCTGAAAAAGTCAACTTGGAAAAACACTACAAACAACTGACAACATCTGTCACCAAACAAGGAGAAGACTGGCAAAGAGAAATTAACATCATTGTCAACAAACAGAAATCTGAAATTGATCAGATGAAAACTAAACACGTGGCTGCTCTACATAAACATGAACATGCAAATTCAAAGAATCGTGGTCCCCCGCTTTCGGAGTCTTTGTGGGTGAGGTGTTATTTTTTTATGACATATTGTGTGTAATATAAACATCCTATTACATGTATATGTCATTTATTTAGAAAGTAACACTGAAGTTGATTTTTTTTGAAGGGTGAAAACCCTAACCTTGACTGTTAAAAAGTTATAGCCAAAGTAAAAAGTTTTTTAAAAGTAGGTCAACTCCAAGGTCGAGATCTAAGAGTCAAAGAAGTGGATATCCAATGAAAGGTTTTCTCACAAGGATTACATACGTGAAGTATGAAAGCCCTAGCCCTTACTGTTCAAAGGTTATGGTAAAGGTTAAAGTTTTTTCATAAGTACGTAAAACATTACGATAAAGGTCAAAAGGTCAAAGTTGTTGATATCCAATGAAAGGAGTTACCACAAAGAATACATATATGAAATATGAAAGTCCAAGTATCTACCGTTCAAAAGTTGTGACCAAAATTAAAGTTTTGTTTATAAATTATCCAATATCAAGGTCAAAGGGTAAAAGTTGTTAATATCCAATGAAAGGTCTTCTCAGAAGGATTACATATGTGAAGTACGAAAGCCTAAACCCTCACTGTTCAAAAGTTATGGTCAAGGTTAAAGTTTTTTTCATAAGTACGTAAATCTCCAAGGTCAAGGTCAAAGGGTCAAGGTTGTTGGTATCCAATGAAATGTCTTGCCACAAGAAATACATATGTGAAATATAAAAGACCTAGTATCTACTGTTAAAAAGTTGTGACCACAGTTAGGGTTTTTTAAAAGTAGTTAAAACTCCAGGGTCAAGGTCAAAGGGAAAAAGTTGTTGGTATCCAATGAAAGGTTTTCTCACAAGGATTACATATGTGAAGTTCGAAAGCCTTAATCCTCACCGTTCAAAAGTTATGGTCAAGGTTAAAGTTTTTTCATAAGTGCGTAAATCTTCAAGGTCAAAAGGTCAAGGTTGTTGTTATCCAATGAAAGGTCTTGCCACAAACAATATATATTTGAAATATGAAAGTCCTAGTATCTACTATTCAAAAGTTATGGCCAAAGTAAAAGTTTGGAGTTTTTGTGTAAAAGTGGGTCAAACTCCAAGGTCAAGGTCAAAAGGTCAAATTTGGTGGTACCCAAAGAAAGGTCTTGTCACAAGAAAAACACATGTGAAATATGAAAGTCATAGCTCCACTACATCAAAAGTTATGGGCAAGGTTAAAGTTTTAGTGACGGACAGACTGACAGACGGACAGACTGACAGACGGACAGACTGACGGACAGACGAATGAGATTTAATGACCCCTCGCTTTCGCGAAAGCGGGAGACAAAAAGAAATCGAACGGATTGCATTTGATGTTAAACAGAGCATACTTGATTTGAGGAAAATACTTGAAACCAATGATGTCTCCCTAACCTCCGCATACAAATCAAGGAATGCTGAATTCAGAAGGTTACCCCCTAAGGTCAATGTTACATTGCCAAGTTTTTCGCCCCATCAGATCAACATAGAACAGCTCCATCAAATGTTTGGTTCTCTGTCAGCATTATCCATTACAACAGAAGAACATGGCTACACAATGAAGACATCAGAAGCTGTATCCTGTCCTCCAGTCAAACCACTGCTTGATGAACCAGAGCTCATCACCACCATAGACACCGGTTATGGGCAAATGTGCAGCGTTACCATGCTCAATGATGAAGAAATTTGGACATGTGGGAAAGAAAATATTATGAAACTCTTTAATTTCCAGGGCGAACTACTGAAGTCAATCCAAACGAAGTCAGGGAAAATTCCATGTGACATAGCAGTGACAAGGAGTGGAGATCTAGTTTATACCGACTCTGATAGAAGAACTGTAAACAGAGTGAAGAATGAACACATAAAAAAGGTGATAAAACTGCAAGGATGGAGACCTTACCATGTCTGTAGTACCTTCTCTGATGATCTCCTGGTTACTATGGACAGTGATGAAGATAAACAATCAAAAGTTGTCCGTTACGCTGGCTCCATAGTGAAACAAACCATTCAGTTTGATAGTGAAGGTAAACCTCTGTATTCATCTGGGTACTTTAAATACATGTGTGAAAACAGAAACCTAGATATCTGTGTGGCTGATTGTGAAGCTCAAGCTGTAGTGGTGGTTAATCAGGCAGGAACACCCCGATTTAAATACACTGGTCATCCCTTTACTACCGAGGAGGAAGAATTCTATCCACATGGAATAACAACAGACAGCCAGAGTCAGATCCTCATCGCAGACTATTATAACCGAAGGGTCCACATCCTAGATCAGGATGGACAGTTCCTCCGTTACATTGATAACTGTGATCTAGAGCACCCATAGTCTTTATGTGTAGATACCAGAGACAACCTCTTTGTGGCCGAGGATATGAGTTGTAAAGTGAAGAAAATCAAATACGTGTAAAAATAAAATATAACCATGCAGTATCTGTGTATTAACATGATTGTTTTAACAACCAATAAGTGTAGTGATGATCACAAGAACCTTTCAATAAACAATGCAATATAAAAATAACAAATATAATCTCGAAAGTCAAATCAAAACTTTATTAATCAGAAGCAGAGCAGACTCAGACCTCAAAATCTAGTGGTTGGGTGCCGTTGAGGAGTGATCATCACCTGCCGACCAGTTGCACCTGCCGCATGCTCATTGTCATGATCGAAAAAAATATACTTGTAAAAATCGTAGACTATTTAGTCTATGAATAATGGCCTAACAGCGAGTACTGAAAACGATAGTCAATGTCTTACCCAGTGATAGGTTATTTGTGCTGACAAGGTCATAAGTATTTAAAGTTGACGATTGAAATTTCATCACGTTTATCATCATTTGTTTGTTATATAATCATTGACTTCCTTTTCTAGTAAAATATTTACGTATGAAATATATTTGTCCGAATATGTGGTATCTTTGACTCACTTGGATATTTTGAGGCGAAATATGAACAAAAGTAACTACTTGTAATTGATGATATGTCGATGATCTTTATGAAGTTTAGAAATACAGCAATGATACGGTAATACAAATCTCATACAGCAATTTCCAATGGAATTACATTGCGTGATGGTATTGTCATTGTTGTTTCACTATCATCATAGTTTTATATAGATTTATACCCTGTATCATTCGTGTGTATTGATCAGTCCGAGGATTGATATGTTTAGAATTTGTAACATACCTGTGGTGATCACTTGTAGTTTTAGTTACCATTAAGCAATTACATGTTTAAAATCAAATCAGTTACAACACTCTGTCAAAGAAGATTACTGGAAACCAAGTATTATTTGCGTGTTAGAAATATTCGCATGTCCCGCAACCTACTTCAAATGACGAATTCAAATAGACGGAAACCAATTTGTTTGCTAAGTATTTGTAGAAGAACGTTTTGTCACTCGTTGAAATTAATCGTCGCGCATTGATTTGAAAATGACGCTTTGCAAATAAAAGATGACGCGAATAATAGTTGGTTAACGGAATACGAGGTTGATGCTTAGATAATGAGTTGAATTTTAACCGTAAATTAAAGTGAGTGGGATGTTTAAGTATGGAGGCTTTAACATATGTAGACATATTTTTTTCTTTATCGTTATGGGTATTTGCACCTTCTGTTGTCGATTTATGGAAGAATATGGAGTGATATGATTATTCATTTAAATTATTCATATGTATATTGTATGTTTGTCATTCATCAGAATAAAGAAAAAAAATAAAAATTATGGTGATGGTTTTGTTATTGTAATAAAGTTTTTGACATGTTTACAGAAATTTGGCATTTTAAAAAGGTTTAACATAGTATATATTTATATGATCAGTCAGTTTTCGTCATTTCTAGCTATATAGTTCTAGAGAATTATAATACATCATACTCTATTTTTGCCCATTTCCCTCATCTCCATGAAATCAAAAATAAATTTACAGGAAAATTTTGTAAGAGTGTAGACAAGCACAAATTTATTTTATTCAGATTTATTGATTTTCTATAACATTAATTTTCACAATAAATTAATAATTAGACATTTTTCTTCAACAATAAAAAAAATAACCCTTTTGAATAGTATTAATGGAACTTATTAATATGGTAAACTCTACTAGGAGTTATTTAATTATATATTGTATATAATTATTGCTAAAAATATATTTATTTTATCGACCATGAACTTTTAAATATTTACCGGTATTTGAAGGTTTCACATCTGGAGATATTTTTAAACTTGGGGAACTACAATCATGGGGACTCCCATACATATACTTGCTCTACATATTAAAACAATTTTAATCTGGGTAGAGAGTTTTAAGGATGTACACCTATATAAGTCTTTAAGTGCAATATAAAATGTTCTGTTTTATGAAGTAAAACTCTATATTGACCATAGGGTGCAGATAATTTGAAAGGGATGTTTTTTTTATAAAATGAACTTATCTGTAAAAATAATATCAAAGGAATTTAAAATACTACGTTTCACTTATATAACTTTACCGTAGAAAAAACTGGGGTGGGGGTAGGGGGCTAGGGGTGGGGGCACCCAGACTTTCAATGAACATTTTCAACAGTTCAAGTTATTTTGGGAAAAAGTAGGGGTGCAACTCTTTTTTTTATTAAATAAAATGACTTTATTTTTCATCAATTATTAAGTATACTGTTTTAGGCAGCATCTTCGATGTTTGAATTAGTAGGGAGCGCTGCATTTCATTTCCGGAAATATGCATAGCATTTCCGACATTTTTTGTTATAATTTCCGACATAATTTTGTTTTCATTTCCGGAATTTACCTGTGCGACAAGTCAACGTTTTCTAAGTAAGTGAAAAGGGAATTTAAAAGTATTATTACAGAGTATTGATTAAAAACATCTACACATATATATACATAAAAGTAGCTCTAAATAAAAGAGTTTGATGAGTATAACGTTTTTATCATATCTAATGTGCACTAAATTAAATGTCAGTGAGAGTTTAATTTTGCACTTATGTCCCAGTCATTGATAGATTTACAAAACTCAGGTAATGGATTTCAATGTTTTTATGTATGTTTTTTTCTTTAAATTTTTCATAAGTAATGTATTCAGATCTGTTAATAAAAGTACTACAAATGTATATGAAAAATGTCGAAAATGAAAACATGATAATTACCAAAAATTCCGGAAATGAAATGCAGCCGTAGGGAGAAATACACGTGTAAACACCGCATGGATTTATCGTGAATCTGTGAATTAAATCGCCGATTCAACCGTAGCAATGTAGGATTTATCAAAATTACAGAATACTATTGTCCTCGTGTGACGTTTTCAATATTCATTTACAGACATAAAACCAGTTTCTTTTGTTAATATGCATATGACATTCCTGTCTTTTTTTTTTACATGCGTGAATTGTTCACTTACAGAAAGGACAAAATGCATGTGCGACTGATTCTATGCAGAAATTACTTTATTGAATGAAAGAAAAATATATTTTAAAAAACCAAGAAAGCAGGCATAACAAATTAATCTCATGTCTGACTCTTTAACAGTCAAACCTCTGCTTGCCAGATCAGAGCTCATCACCACTATAGACATTGGGTATGAAATGAATGTCTCGGTGATAAACACATTTGGACATGTGGAGAAGACAAAATCATGACACTTTACATTTTACGTGGGAATGTATTATAGTCATTTCAAACTGAGCTAGGGGACTTTCCTGGTGACATTGTTGAAACAATAAGTGGGGATCTACTCTATACTGACCTTTAATCATAAACTTTAAACAAATCAGAATATCAACGGAGAAAGGAATCTTAAGAATTTTAAATGTGGAAACCCTACAGTCTCTGTAGTACCTCTTCTGGTGATCTCCTCGTTAACATGATTAGTGATTACCATAAACAATCAAAAGTTATCCGTTACTCTGAAATCTTCATAGAGAAACAATTAAATCAGTTTGATGAAAAAGGAAAACCCTTGTTTTCACTAGGTTTCATTAAATACATCAGTGAGAGCTGAAATATGGATATCTGTGTGGCTGACAATGGAGCAAGTACCTTTGTTATGATTAATAGGGCTGCTAAACTCAACTTTAGATATTTTGGTTGTTACACTGCATCCAAAAAATCCGTTGATCCATACGGGATCTCAACAGACAGTCAGAGTCAGATCCAAATAGCAAACTGTTACAACAACTGTATCCTAATACAAGATCAGGGCGGCCAATTTCTCCGTTACGTACGACTTAAACTAGACATTTCTTGGGATTTGTGTGTAGACACAAGAGACAACCTCTTTGTGGCCGAATGGGGCAGTGGTAAAGTTAAGAAAATCAAATACATGCAATAGCTCCATTTCCATGAGGAGATTTATTTTAAGTTTCAAAACCAACCCTAATTCATTATAACATTAGCTAGAATTGAGAGTTCTAGATGTCATCATAAGGCGGAAAAAGTAAGTTGTGTTATATGAAGATTAATTTTGTATATTATCTGTACATTTTGTCAAGACTTATTATATAATAATAAATAAATAAAAAAAATAGTTTCCTTGTTGATTCATTGTCCCGATATCTGGATCTCAATTGGAATCAATAGACGAAAATTAAATTTATAAATATATATATATTGACTGACATGAATTTGCTGAAATCGTTTCTTGAAACTCAAAATGAAAAAAGACTCATAGAAACAATACATTTTTCTGAATAGAATAACATTTGCTGAAATTTGTTTTTAGTGTAGGAATTTTTTTTTTGTTTTTTGTATTTTATTTGAACCGGAGACATTAAACCGGCACAGTGAGTCAAAATCATACCTTAATTTTAAGATTTCTGTAGCATACAGAGAAAGCTTTACAAAAATTATAAGTATATAGCGAAGATATGACAATTAAACTGCAAGAATTGACTGCACAATATAAGTGCCGGAAAAACGAAGGTTGTATCTACCGTTTCGTTGTTTCGTATATGTCAAGGTCACACTACTCTTATTCTGAGCTCAAACTTGTAAACAAAATGCAACTGGAGCATGCATAGGTGAGATTTATGTTCTAAAAACTTTTTAAAAAGATTTCATCACATTTTTTGGTCTACTTATATTCAATATACATGGTAACTATGGAAACTAATTCAACACTTTTCTGCGCATGCGTATAACAGGGAGGAAAGGGTAATTTCAATATTTTTGCTCTGGGGCAGACAAAAATTATTTTTACTTTTATTTTTCCCTATGAAAATTTAATTTTTAGGTTCTGAAACCTGTAATTTTCTGAAACCTAATACTTTCAGGAATTAAACAAAATTTACAGAGGTCATGGGAAAATTCTACATTTGTCAATTTTCCTCTTCGTGCGTCACTGTG